CCCCAAAACCCCAAAACCCCAAAACCCCAAAACCCCAAAACCCCGGAAATTTAAATTGCTATTGAATAAAAGTAATATGATGAGTGTTTTCGATAAATGAAAGAAAGCAGACAATGACCTTGACCCTCAGGAGCTCTATTGTTTGAAAAGAGATGAGGATGTTAGCCCTGAGTTAGCAGATGAAGGGAGACAACCCATAACCAATATTCCTATTTTTGGGAGAAGTCAGAACAGTTTAGTAACTAATAAAGGGAATCCGTCCCAAAGGGATAAAGCAATGTGGATGGAAGAGCTTAAAATTAATTATTTTGAACATCAAAACGAAGTTGCTAAAGAAGCAGAGAAATCTCAAGACCTCTTATTAAGATTATCTAAAGAAGAAGATAGTGTCTCAAATGCATCGGACTGATCGAATGTCGTTAAACTAGAGAAGAGTTTTAGTAACAATAGGACTCGTTCAGTAAAAACAAGATTGGTGAGCTCTAGAAGCCGGCCTTTTATGTCATCAACTCGGAACTTTAACTAATTCTCTAACTATTTTCCTTCAACCCCAATCTCCTCATCTATATTTCTTCGTAATAGATTTTCCTATCATCCATGAATCTCTGCTCTTATAGACTCAATCTTATGTCAACACCTCATCACCCATGGCTTGTTGATGTCTAATTGATCAAGATCCTTCGCCTTAAATCTTTTCTGGCTGATAGGGAAATTTCCCGACAATTTTGGGAAATGAGTATTCAGCCTTAGTCTTTAGTAATTATTATACATGAAAAGGTGATTATATGGGGATAAAAACCCATCTTGGTTTTAAATTATGAGCCCATTAACCGGGGCTTAGGTAGATAGGAGAAAGGACTGAGAAAGAGACTGTGAATTAGAACAGGAGTAAACATTGAGCATGAATCATTCAATAGATGCATCAAAATTTAATTTTTATAGCGCCATACTTTTTACTGGTCATTTCGACCCCACCATTTCAATAATGAGGAAAGTTTAAGGGGTTTTGGGGTTTTGGGGTTTTGGGGTTTTGGGG